ACCACTCTAAACTTAATTGGACAAGTTTACTATGATTTGAATTAATTTTAAGTTATCTGCAAAAAGATATTTGCTGCTAATAAATTTTATTAAAATAAGAACTACTTTAGGACCAATGTGAGAACCTTGACCTACACCTGAAGTAACAAATAACTTTAGAGACAAAGATAATAAATTTTACATGTTGAATATATGATTAACAATTTAATCAAAATACAAATAAACTTAAGTTTTTTTAACATAATACAATGGGAATAACAAAAAGATCATTGAAAATCTCTGTTGTCGTTGATATTTGCTGTTTAAATTTGCTCATTGTTTCTGTTGTTTAATATCAAATATTGGAGTATTGCTACATATGTATTCCTTTGTGTGTTGTATTTTTAAATAGTGCTTTCATTATTTTCGTATTTCCCATCTGCATTTAAATTAAATTGCTTATTCAACGTTTTATTTTTTTGTTATATTTGTAATAAAATACTGTATCAACATTGTTGTTTAAAGATGGTAAATTATAAGATGTTTAGTTAAACAGAAAGATGCACAATAAAAATGTGAGTAAATGTATATTTGATGTTTAAATTAAAATAAAAACGAATTTTAACTAGGACCTTTCTCGGAACTTCGCTTCTAAAAAGGCAACAAATTAATGGTGAGTATTTAAATCCATTTTCGGACAGTATATAAATCAAATTTCAGTTAGAATTTTATTACCAAAATAGTATACAAATACTAAATGCTCAGTGTAAAAATATTAAACAGCCAGTATAAAAATGCTAAATGGTCAGTATAAAAATGCTAAATGGTCAGTATGAAAATGCCAAACGGCCAGTATAAAAGTACTAAACATTTAGTACATAAATTAGTTAATCAGAAAATACATTAATTACTTACTGATTAAGAACTGCTGGTTCCTTTAGGTTAATTAGTTGCTTACTATTGGTTAGACCACTTGCATTTAAGTACTGACCTCTTCGATTTAAATACTGACTGTTTATATTTAAACATTGTTCACCAAAGTTGAAGTAGTGATCTTACACAATACTTAAATACTGACCAAAATGGATTAAAATACCAACCAATAAAGTACAAAACTTTTAAGAATTGTTCCCACTGGTTGATAGTGACGCAAAATAAAGTAATATGTGTGTACATATNTATTCTTAATTTAATTATTTATCATTCAATTCATTATTAAAAATGTGTGGTTTATTCTTAAAAATACATATAAAAATTTATTTTCGAAATTCTTGGAAAGGTAATTCCAAATTGTTTCTTTAAAGTGTTGTATCCTTCCGTCTCTGGACGTAATCTTTTTTGTAATTTTCACTTATTTGCGAATGAATCAATTTTGCTTTTGACTTAATTATTTCGCTACTAACACTTGTACATTATTTTTCATTCTTGGAAACCCTGATCTCTTTTAATGCTTTTCTGTTACCTGGTTCTTGTTTTATGGTATGGATTGTAGATTATTAAATATGACACCATATTTTTTAGCTAAATACGTAATAATTAGCAATTTAATTCTTAAAACGATTTCTCAGGAAGTGTCATTATATATGTAGCTTATTGTAAGTATTTTTATAGTAAATCTACCAGGATATTTAAAAAGTTTTTATTATTTTTCCACAACGGTAAATGAAAAGTTCATTACAATATGTTGAATTGATATACAAAAAGTAATTAACTAGTTACACTGTTTAAATTATGATATAAAGTTGACTATTTAGTAAAGAAAATTCTTGAATCAATTCCTGTTAAAAACATTGGAACTATAAAAAGCGTTTGCTTTATATTCCGTATATTTCTCTCAGAAATTGACAATGTTCTTTTGTTCCATGGTTTCTATAAACTTCATACACCCTTAGTATATTATTGAATGATTCGGAGATCTTTGTTCTAAAGTTCTTGTCGGTTTTGTAAGCAAATTCACAAACAGGTTTTTTATCTCTGTACAAACATTCTGCAGCGTCTATTTCTCCATTGTTAAATTTTTCCACGGATATTTGTCCAAATTGGTACCAACAAGCTACTTGAAAATATACTTGTTCTATAATATGATTGCATCCTTCAACGAATTCTTCGTAAGTTAGCAGTGTATTTATATCGTAGTTGCTAGCTTTCAAAGCAGAACTTAATGCATTATAATAGAAGTCGATATAGTGCTTTAAGTATTTTGTACGGTGTTCATGAGTTGTTACGTAAACAACAATAAACATGAAATCGTGGGCAGGTAAGGTATATCGCACTAATTGAAAGTCGATGATTCGACAGTCCACAGGATTACCTGAATCGTCGTACTTAAGGAGAAAATTGGGTGGCCAAAAGTCCCCGTGGCACATCACATTTCGGAATTTTTGTGTTGGTTTCAACAATTCTCTAGATTTGTCGTATAAATTTAGTATATAATGGGTCAAATCTTCATCACATTTACCAAATATTTTCTCAATCATGTATACAATCGCTTCCGTGCCTACCATAAAGCTTATACGTGAGGCGTTTTTCTCGTCGGAAACAAAATGACCTTCTTTGAGTGGACGATGGTATACTTCTAAAAGACTTCTTCGACTTTCACACTGTTCATAAAGTTTTTCCTCCAATACGATACTCGACGCGTGGAATTTCGCAAGGACTTTTAAAACCGTTTCGATTTCGTTAACGTTTAAATTGCGTTTGTGATCAACTGTTACGAAACCTGTTTCCAATAAGTCTTCGACAACCAAGGCATCGTTTGAGCTGCCAAAGATTAAACGTGGCACACAGTCGTTAATTATGTCGATATTGTATTTTTGCATGTCGTTTATTATATTTATGTACACGAGAATTTCTTTGTCGAAAAGATCTGAATCGTCTATCATTTTGGTGAATGGAGAACCGATTGGATATAATTTGGTAAAGTACTTCAGTTTCTTCTCGCCTTCGTTAGTAAGATATGTTATATTTAATTTATTGTGATGACCTAAGAAACCAGAACCTTTGCCAATTGAATCAAGACTATAATGCACAATTTCAAATTCTATGTCTCCAATGGCGTCTTTTACTATTTTATTAACGTCTTCAGGTATAACTCTGTAGGATTTATACCTAAAATGCTCTTCTAACTCCTTTAGGATGTCCAATAAAAGTTCCTTATTTTTTTCTGGACCATTTTCTTTAATAATTTTGTATTTTGTCAAAGATGAAGACAGTTTGACTAGTGGTATGAATTGTCTTATAAGGCTCTGATATTCGAAATAATCGAAAAAGTCATTCAAAATTATGTCTCTTGATTGTAATTCATTTTCCAAGGATTTATAATAGTAATCAAGTAAATCGTTTAAGTTATATTTTCTAAATTCTCGAGAGGTCGTGGAATATATTCCAAACAAAACGTCGTAAACAGGCGATGAATAGAAGAT